CCTAATTTGGCAACATTTGACTTTTGATGATTTGAGGGCTTTTATTGAGGAATCATGATCAACCCTTGACCAAATGATGAACATGACTTCAAAATGTTGATGTTGACCAAAAATATGGAAGTCTGACTGTATTTTGACCATAATTAACTTATTACCCAATACAATTGATTTTCAGTCATCTGAGCTATTGGCTGAGCAAACTTGTGATGCAAGGCTTGAAACTCGACATGGGAATTATTAGGGACATATGAAGAAACAAGAAAAACATTTGAGACCTTGGAAACCCAATATTCCTTGATAAATACAAAACCCTAGTTATGGACACATTGCTTAGGAGGAGAATTTGTCTGATCAATTCTTGGGCAATCTAGAGCAAATGAGGACCTTAGGAGAATGTCTTGAAAAAAAATGAGAGGGAAACTTTTGGGGTACAACACAAACAATCAACATTTGACAAAGAAGCTTAAGATTTTTCACAAATTTCATCACTAGGGATTTTGTGAAGGAACTAGAAATATAGGGCATTGAATTCAATCATGCTCAGAAGCAAAAAAATCAAAAGCCTCATATTTGTTTTGTTCACAAAAAAAAAAAACACAGATTTCAAGCAATAATCATGGGCCCATGTATCCTACTGCAAATCTCAAAAAAATGCACAAAAAATATTTCTTTGGTTCACAATAAAAAAATCAGAATAGACAAAAAATAATTCACTGCAATAACAAAAACAGCAGGGCAGTACAAATCACATTTAAGCTAAATCAAAGACAAAATTACTGCTTGACATCAAAGGAGTTTACACAATGAGCATCAGTGAAGAGCTTAATCTTTTCAAAGAAGAGAGGCTTGAGTAATCTGTTGAATCAAAATTTAATCTTTTCAAGAAAATTGACGATATCCAAAGGCATATTTCCCAGAGACTTTGTTGAGTATGAACAATGTGATGCTTTACTGTTTGAGTACCCTTAAAGGGACTGGAGTTTGAAGATTTTGCCAATCTGGGGTAATCACGTTGAGAAATCTCTTCAAGATTCAGTCAACCTGGGGCAATCACATCGAGATCTGACAAATCTCTCCAAGAAATCTGTAATCAGGGGAAGTTTATTTCGTGACCCAAGACATTATGGAAGGCCACCTCATATCGTATTGTGGCACGAATAGTTCAACCTTCTATTGTAGGCACATTCTTCTAGGGATCCTACAGACAGGGGAATTTCTTCTCCATACTCGCAAATCTGCTCTAGCAAATTCTATCACACAAGACAATGGTAGAAGAAATCAAGCTAAGAGCGTAATGACGATCACCTGACCTAGCCAACATTCAAAAGTCATTCTCATCCCCTACAGATGTTTAAAGTGTAATCCCCAATAGTGAGGCAGACTTGGGTCTTGGTTCATCATGCACATTCAACAAATCATTCCCCAGTAGATAAAACTTGGGGCGCTCGAGGAGTTCTATGTGGTTCAACATGTAATCTTGACAGATGACTGTCACCTAATCTCCAGCAAAGAAGCAAACTCGGGGAAATTGAAGAGGTTCATGTCCATCTCCTAATCCCCAAGAAGTTTAAGGTGTATTTCCCCAGCATGAAGTAGACTTAGGGAATCCGAATAAATCCAAATGATGTTCAACATACAACTCTCCAGCATGTCTATGTCTAATCCTACCATCCCCAGGAAATCCAGGATGTAGGGAAATCATAACAAGTCATTTCTTCCTCAACAAGTCTTCACCACAAATCACCTTTAGGAGTTTATTTCTCCCCTAGCAAGACAACAACTCTTCCCCAAAGAGCCTTTCATTATCCCCAGTGGAGTTACTAATAATCTTCGGTATTCAATCCTCAACGACACCAATTTATATTGGTATCTCGACACATCAAGTCGCGCTTCTTGATGAATTTTTCCTATTCTCTTGTCTTTTCTTTGCATATAGTTATCACTACATACCATTTCATCCTCAAAATGCATAGCATAGCATATCCATTTATGTGGTTCGTTACGCATTAAAAAGAAATTCAAACATGCACACAAATCATAATACAAATTTGGAACCTTGCATGAAAGGCCGAATCATTCCTACGCCAAAACAATGGTAAATCCCCAACTGATGTCCTTAACTATATTACAGTTCCTAGTTAACGGTTTCAGTACCTTTTTACTTTGGAATTCAAGCAAAGTTAATACACTTTTTCAAACAGATACGTGTCCAGTCACTGCGCTGTAATCAACCTTCTCTTTTCGGGTTTCCAGATCCTACATGATAGGTACTCCGCTATCATCGATCTCACCCATTGTATTTTCTTTCGGGTCACCAGATCCTACATGATAGGTACTCTACTATCATCGATCTCACCTATTGTCTTTTCTTTTAGGTCGCCAGATCCTACATGATAGGTACTCCACTATCATCGATCTCACCCATTATCTTTTCTTTTGGGTCGCCTGGTCCTACATGATAGGTACTCCACTATCATTGATCTCACTCATTGCCTTTTCTTTTGGATTTCCAGATCCTACATGATAGGTACTCCACTATCATCGATCTCACCCATTTTTTTTTCTTTCAGGTCGCCAGATCCTACATGATAGGTACTCCAGTATCATCAATCTCACCTATTGTATTTTCTTTCGGGTCGCCAGATCCTACATGACAGGTACTCCACTATCATTGATCTCACCCATTGTCTTTTCTTTCGGGTCACCAAATCCTACATGATAGGTAATCCACTATCATCGATCTCACCCATTGTCTTTTCTTCCAGGTTTCCAGATCCTACATGATAGGTACTCCACTATCATAGATCTCACCCATTGTTTTTTCTTCTGGGTTTCCAGATCCTACATGATAGGTATTCCATTATCATCGATCTCACCCATTGTATTTTATTTCAGGTCGCTAAATCCTACATGATAGGTGCTCCACTATCATTGATCTCACCCATTTTCTTTTCTTTCGGGTTTCCAGATCCTACATGATAGGTAGTCCATTATCATAGATCTCACCCATTGTCTTTTCTTTTGGGTTTCCAAATCTTACATGATAGGTGCTCCACTATCATCGATCTCACACATCGTCTTTTCTTTTGGGTTTCCAGATCCTACATGATAGGTGATCCACTATCATCAATCTCACCCGTTGTCTTTTCTTTCGGGTTTCCAGATACTACATGATAGGTACTCCAATATCATTGATCTCACCCATCGCCTTTTCTTTCGGGCTGTCAGATCCTACATGATAGGTACTCCACTATCATCGATATCACCCATTTTCTTTTCTTCCGGGTTTCCAGATCCTACATTATAGGTACTCCACTATCATCGATCTCTCTCATTGTCTTTTCTTTCGGGTTGCCAGATCGTACATGGCAAATACTCCGTTGTCATCGATCTCACCTATTGTCTTTCCTTATGTCTTATGGATCTTACATGATAGACCACTGAGCTGTCATTGATCCTATTCCTTTCAACAATCATTTCCTTTGAGAACCTTTTTGGCACCGTCACCACATTACAAGCTGTCATCATTCAACCACATTTTCTCGTTAAATCTTTCCCCTAGAAAAACAAATCTTTTTTCCCCAACATATATTACAAGAAAGCAAAACAACAGTCTTCCTCTTTCGGAAATTTTTCTGGTATTTTGTATTTAATCTTCTTCTACCTCGAATGTTAGAAAGGCTTGCGCCAATATCACTTTCAGGTTTAAAATGATTAAATAGGGGCACATGTCATACCCCAAATTTGTCCTACCCTTATATTTATTCATCTGGTTTATTGCATTGCATTTGCATACTTACCATTAGGTCATATTCATTGCTACACTCATGGAATCAAGGTATTCTTGTCTTCATGGTCTTCTTCAAGCTTTAGAAGATGGTTGTATTGTCAATCAGTGCGAGGAAGGTCTCATGCCCTAAAATTTTTGAATCACTCAAGCTACAAGTGCTCCTCATGCCTCAAGACACCTCATTGATTCTTTGTGTCATCAGATAATTGAAGATTTGAGAGTTCTCCTAACCTTTGAATTTTATGCTAGGGTTTTGATTACTGAAGTGTGTGACATCTTGCTTGACAGAATTATTGAAGCATTATCATCATGAGTATTATCTCAGTACACCTTCAATCATCAACTGAGGTTCATTAGAGATTTTCTTCTTTGATTCCATTCTTATCTTTTTCAAAGATTCTTCAAAGACAAGACATCATTCTTAAGCTTGGTGATTAAGGAGAAATTCTATATGGATTTTCTCTAGAAGGGATGTTATCTGGTTTCTATGATTAAGTGAGTTTTGTATTACTTGTTGGGTCATCTTTTTGAGGATAAATGTTGAAGTATATTATGTAATAGTTATTGGAGATCTTTGGGCTTTTAGAGTCAATTATTTTTTGGCTTATTAGAATGCATTACTAGAGTGCATCTTCAAAAAGGCTATTTGAGGGAAAGTTTGTCCTTTTTCTACTTATAATGTTTTGCATTTTTTGCCAAGATTAGAAGTGAAGAGATAATTTGAAGATTATGGTGTTCGTAATCCAAGAGTCATTTATTCATCAATTTGAATTATACAAAGCTCATTTGTTGGCCAAATACTTTGAAGTGAAGAGAGATTACAAGCTTAATATTTTTGAACCAAGGAATTCTATTGCATTATGTACAAGTTTGGTTTAGAGTTTACTACAAGAATTGCAATGCTATTCCTCTAAAACCAAAATTACTTTATGTTATGGACAAGATTGGTGTAATTGCTATAATTTGTAAACACTTTAACCAAATATATTTCAAGATAGTTCATACTTCATTACCAAAGAACATTTCATGTTACAATTCAAGTGGCTCCTCTCCTAATTCCAAGTACACCATTCAAGGTTATTCTAAACTTGTTTGCAAATTCTACAAAGTCTACAAGTTTATAAGATGTTACAAAGAACTTATACATTCAAATACACACTTTCTCTAAAGTTTATTACAAACATGATCCAAGGTCCTAATGCTTAAAGCTTTACAAGAAAATTTCAAGAAGAATCCTTAATCTAACAAGCCTAATCCTATGATTTCTAAGAGAACTTTCCACTGATTTTCTTTTGAATCTCCATACAAATCTTCTTGCTCCATATTCAAGCTTCTTGTTCTCACACCTTGCCATAAGTTTCTTCTTCAAGTCTTCCTCTATGCTCTTTCAATCTCATCCATCAACATCACATGAAAACAAACAAGGAAATGGTTAGCAAACAATCAACATTTGATAAAGAAGCTTAAGAGTTTTCACAAATTTCAATCACTATGGATTTTGTGAAGGAATCAGAAATATAAGGCGTTGAATTCAATTATTCTCACAAACAACAAATCAAAAGCTTCTTATTTGTTTTGTTCACAAAAAAAAATCATATTTCAAGCAATAATCATGGCCCCAAGTATCGTACTGCAAATATCAAACAAATGCACAAGAAATATTTGTTTTGTTCACAGTAAAACAAAATCAGAACAGACAAAAAAATTCACTACAGTAACAAAAACAGCAGGGCCGTACAAATTGCATTTCAGCCAAATCAAAGATAAAATTACTGCAGTAACACATGATTCAAAAAGAATCAACAATAACATATTAAAAAATTGCAAAGGCCAAGATAGAATTCAATTACAAGCCTGTTAACAAACCACTCAGAGGACCCAAACATGAAACCCTAATTCACTAATATTTAAGCAATCATTGCACAAATTTCAAGAAGAGGAGAATATTGTTCACATTCAACAGAAGCCGCGCAACAATAACAAACACTAACCCTACTTTATAATAATTTTCCCTAAACCACAAATCCCTTCGAAAATTGAGAAATAGAAAGAAGAAGAAACAAGTTCACAAGGATCAGAGAAATAAGAGCGATACACAAGCCTAACAGGGTCAGAAGGATCTCACAGAAAGAACCTCAGAAGAAACATCTTCATCACCAAAACATATCATCCTCATCATCGTCCAAACAAAACCTTCATCGAAGCCACCGTTAACGTGACCAAAATCCTCCGTCCGAGCTCTCTCTCTGTCGTTCTTCATTTTTCTTGATGCAAAAGGTTGACTCACTGGTGGTTTGTGATTATATGATTTTTTTAGAACCTAGGGTTTTCAGATTTTCATTTGTAGATCTATGAAGATTGATTGATTTTGTGTGAATTTGGGTTATTGATTTGGATAGAGGATGAAAAGTAGATATGAATGTTGGTGGTTAGAAGTACGCCACCGCCGTGAGGCGTTTTTTGGCTCGGCGACTTCATCACTTTCGGCAAATTCATTGAGAGAGACGAGAGAGCGTAGGAAGAGAAGAAACATCTCTTTTTTTATATAATTAAGGTTTTAATCAAATTTTTTGTTGTTAAGTAATGTGTTTAAATTTCCTAATCCGACGGTGACACTTGTCATCGTCCGGTTAAATTATCTACGAATCTGATGCTATATTCCCAGTAGTCCTACCATACACCCTCATCCTCTCCACCATCAGATCTTCATCATCATCAACATCAGCGCTCCAGACTCACGTGCACTCGGTGAATCCTCCCTGGAGCAGCACACCAAATCACACAGGATTCCTCAGTGGGCTTGGGCGCATCTCAGGCCCATTTAGTCATTCTCTCTATATTTTTCTATTATTAATTTATCTTGTTTAGTTATCTTATTTAAATTACAAAATGTGTTTGTTTAAGTAATTAATTAAATTGAGTAATACTATTTAATATTATTCATTTATTTATTAATTAATTATATTAAATAAGATTATTTGATTTAATTATTTATTTTAATTAATTTTCAATTGGGTTGTATTATTTGTTTATTTAGACTTTTAATCGAACTTTCAATTTGATACATCCTCATTCATAAACTTGTACCCTCATTCCCACATGGTTGTAATAGCTTAGGATTTATTTCTTTGTGTGTTTTAATTGTTGCTCAACTATGCATATATCATTCGATTAGAACACATGGCCTCCTCTTGGGTCCTTCATCAATGAACATGTATACACTTACAAATGTGCACTCGCACACATCCATTGCTTGGTCCTGGGATTTCCTACGGTGACAACTATTCGATCAATTATTCCGATTGGTCGTTTAGAATACTAGCATCATGCTAGTCCCACAATCTAGGAGCATGCGTATTGTATGGGCTTATTTGATTTTTATCTTGTGCATTGAGTTAAATTTTATCTCCTTATTTCAATAATTGGAAACTTCTCTCCTTTTGGTCCATATACCAAGCTTCCAAAAGGGTCTCATACTTGAGTATGGGCATGGCCATTCTCACAAGATTATTTGAAGCCTTTGCTTACATCGATTAATCATAACCCAAATCAAACACTTTGGTCCATATACCAAGTGTTCCATGCAAGTGGTTCTCATGGTTGAGAGTAGGATCACCTATTCTCATAAGATTAATAAAGTATAGCCCTTGGTTAGTCATAACTTGATTAAATTCCCTTGATCTATACACCAAGAATTCCAATTATTCTTTTCATGATATTAATCATTTTGTTGTTACTTTTTCCATGATTTTATTATCGATTGTTGACACGACCCTTGTGCACTTGAGTGTTAATTTGGTTGATCATTGGCGAAGTTCCCACAAATGTTGAGCTTATTTCACGCGTGTGAAGAGACAATGGACCTCTATTTGGTATCATCGTAGCTCTCTTTATTTCTTATTCTCGCATCGTTTTCAATTAATTTTTCCAAGAGAAGTAGGATAGAGATGCATGACTAGAAGTCTTACCTTTGTAAGCATATATGTGATGTTTGATTGTCATATCTCCTTCTACTTGACTACTTGTGTTATTTTTGCACCATGATCCCTAAGCCTCTATTGCATAACCTTTATGAAAATCACTTAACACTTCTGTTGTACCCCAAAATTTTCCCTCCCATATTCTTAAAATTTTGTCAAGAATCATCTTCAATTGGTTCAAGACTACTCAAGGGGTTGCCCAGTCTAAACATCCTCATAAGCCAGTCAAATTAGGGTTTTTGTTCCTTACAAGGAAATTGAGGTTTACAATGGTCCAATCAAGTCACATAGGCCTACAAACATTGCCAAACATCTACATGTCAAGTCTCAAGAGTCACAGCATCCAATTGCACAGTCAAAAGTCCCATTTGCTTCACAATCAACTGCAGGGGCAAAATTGTCATTTTACAGTCAAAAGTCAAAAATTTTGGTCAACATCTTATTTTGAAGCCACAATCATCATTTGATCAAGTCTTGGTCATGATTCCACAAGCATGGCTCAAAAATCATCAAGGTGTCAAAAGTTTCTATTTTTGGACAGTTGAAAAGTCAACTGTAACTTGACGACGGCATAACTTTTTCACGGTTCATCAGAAAAATCCCATCCAATGCTCATTTTGAAGTGGATGACATTTCCTACAACTCATCTTCACATTCCAAGTCCAAGAAATGCTCTCACAAAAAGTTATCAATTTCTACATTATAGGTCAACTTCAAAAGTCAACAAAAAGGCACTTTAAGTCAAAGACCATAACTTGAGATTGGTAAATCAAAATGACATGGGACCAAAGTAATTGGTTAGAGGACTTAAATACCTTTCCAAAATGTCCATGAACATGTTCATAGGATCAAAATTGAGCAAGATATGCATTGGAGAATTTGGGAAATGTTTGGGAATTTGCAAAAGTCAACTTTGCCCAAAACACTTCATTTTTGCTAATGGGCCTCAAATTCCTTCTTGAAACTTTGCCCAAGGCCTATGCACGACCCATTGAGATTAATTTGAATTATTTTCTTATTTTTATTAATTATTTGGATTTTCAATTGATTATTAATTCATTTAATTAATTTAATTGTAGGAAAATGCCAAGATATGTTTTTCAAATCTTTTGTGAAGCAAATATGACCAATATGAGCTGGAGATTTCGTGTGCCAATCAAAGAGACAAGAACATCCACTTTTGGCAAGTTTTATCAATCAAAAAAGTTGAAAAAGATTTGATTGAAATCAAATATTGAAAACATGAATACAATGGATTCTTGGCCAAGATTGTAACCTAAAACCATCATACTATATATGCTGAAGCTAACCCTAATTCCCTTCACGGGCAAGCTGCTGCAAAACACCATAAGCAAATTCCAAAAATATCAAAGAAAACTTGAAAATTGAATTCAACCTTCCAGGCCAATTCAAAGCCTTTTCTTGATTCAAACACGTTGCTAGCATTCCCAGGAACACACTGCAATAAAAAACAAGCCTCAAAGCTCAAGAACACGTGCTACACAGACCCACGGTTTGGACAATTTTTCCAAAATCATATACTTTGATTCATGCATATTTGACACTTTTTGTTAATTGTTTTGTGTTCATAAGGACTGTACGAAGCTTGTGGTACAATTTAATTGCATTATGGAGCCCTGAATCACAAACCACCATGGATGATTTTTAGGGTTTCGAAGCTTCCAATTTAGGGATTCCCAGCACAGGAAAAATTGGACCTTGAGACGCATATGGTTGAATTCGTCAAGGCCAGATGAATCCAACCCAACCCTCACAAACAATTTCTGATCATCAGGGGCCTAATCGCTATTAATCGTGCTTCCATGTTGTGGGGGTTAAAAACCCCCGCTATTTGATATGTTTTATGCAGGTTTCATGAAGAAGACGAAGACGTGGTAATACACCATTGGCCAATTCAAAAAAAGGCGCGCTTGTTTCTCTTTCCAGCATAAGCGTTATGTTTTTTATATTATATTTATTGATCATTGTGATAACGATTGAAGCGTGAAGATGGAATGGTTAAGGGAAACGTGCAAAGTGCCTTGGGACCTGGGTTCGATTCCCAGGTCCACCCAAAATTTCCATATTGTTTTTCTTTACCTAATCCTATGCAGGCTTCCAAATAGTGATCATCATACATCTCAAGCAATCAGCCTGCCAAGTGGCCACTAACGCCAATCTGATGGCCATGAGGCGTGGACCATGGTGTTCCCAGTCAATGCAACGTGCAGATAATTCCAAAAGTCAAACAGGCTTACTTCTTAATGGGCCTCAGATTGCTCACAAAAACCTCCATTGGGTCCATCAAACCCCCCCTGGTTTACTATCTTTTTCTTTATTTATTTTCTTTTTCCTTTTATTTTCTTTAGTTATTGTTATTATTATTTGATTAATTAACAAATTAATATTTTTTTATAATAAATTCAGAGAATAAAAATGTAAATATTATTATTTTCACTATTGATTATTTTGTAAATAAATTGTAATTAATTAGTTTAATTAGGGCAACTTTAATACTTTTTTACAATAAATAAAAATCATGTAGAATTAGGGTTGGTAATTTTCAATCATATTTTCTTATTATTATTATTATTATTTATTAAATATTATTATTTTTGTAAATAAATGTAAATTAATTAATTTAGTAAATTAGGTCAATTTTAATATTTTTTCATAATAAATAAAATTAACTTAGAACTAGGGTTTTCTTGACTTTTAATTTCTTTTCTTTTTATTTTATTTTCATAAAAATATAAAAAACACAAAAACACTTTTTTTCTTTAATTAATTAATTAATTAGGTTTAGGTTTAATTTTAATTTAATTACAAAAAAGGACCCAAACTCATATTTCTCTCAAAAAGGGTCAAAGCCCTAAGGACGTCCCGATTCTATTTCTTTTCACGCATTATTCTTATTTTGATTATTTATGTATCTGCTCAAAGGATGTAATGGTAATTAGGATCTTTACCGTTTTCTTTACTTTCCGCATTTATTTTCCAAAACGGGTTTTTGTTTTTGGCGATGTATAGACCCGCGCCTTGTAATAGCGTAGATTCATATTTCCGCACTTTATTTTCCGCACTCTTAACTGTTAATATGCATGCAAGACTTGGATGGAAATTAAAAACAACTCGTAGCTCAGAAATGCATGTTCAAAGATAAATATTAACTGAAAAACAACACACAAGCACATGCCACTCCTAGGGTACGCCTTACTGGTTGCCTTCGGAACGTGGTCGTCAAGCATAGGGTGTTTTAGAGGTCGCCCTCTTGTCTAAG